ATTGCTGGAAAAAAGGTTTTGAAGCCCTAGGAATCAAATGCAGCACGTACGGATCGTTTTCGTAGCCCATTTCAGATTTAGGAGGCTAAAATTCACAGAAAAAATCAAATGTCTGCTCTGATGAACAAATCTCGCGGAGCAGTTTTCCATCTCGGGCACGATGAACACTCGAATTCGAACCTCCAATGTTGATATGAATCGATCTTTGCTCTGTTTTTCTCTGCAATTAGAATCTCTCTCTCCTCTCACCTGCTCTTTCATTAAAGTCGGTAATAGGATCCCTCGCTCTTCTGATAAAGGCGAACAGAGAGTTTTTCGCGCCATGGAAGCTGCTGAAGAATCGCACTTCCGAGCTTAAGTTGCAAGGAGAGATTCGAATGCGTGTCAGCAGCGTGAAGGAGAAGGCCTCCGTCTCCGACGCCGCAGCTCTGTTCGCCATCCATGCCCTTCTCCGCTTAACTATTTGGGCATTTGCACACATACCACACACTTCTTGTACATTTATATTGCTCAGGTTTACACATTCATATTTAGGATAATTACGCACGGACCACTCCAAATATCCATGACCAATCATTCAGAATTTAATAAAAATAAAAAAAGGGTTTGAAATTTCTTCAATAATTTTTATATTTGATTGATTTGTAAATGACAATGTTTCTAATAGTTTACATGCATATCATTCAAATTTTTATACCACATAAGAAATAGTACTATCATTTTATCTTATGTTCAAACCGATCATTAGACTCCTCCAACTCGGAAGGGCTTGTTCACAGGAATCCCAAAATTACAGGTCTCATATATTAATAATATTGAAATAGCTCCCATTATCCTAATTGAAGATGTAATCTCACAATTATACTCCTCTTTATCTATAAATTTTACACGTTCTTATTATTCATTATTGTGTTATCTCTCTATTTCTTTTTCCCTTTATTTATTGTGTTAATTGGTCATCTCCAGTAGCTCGGACAAGTTCTACATCAGCTAAACCAACTTCCTTGCTTAGAATTAAATTATCAAGTCATAAGATTTTGAGGTTGTTTGCTTATGCAACATAATTCCTCACCTCATATTTAGGCCTTTGTACAACCATGTCGTACAATATAAGCCCTAACTCGTCTTAGGATTTCGAGGTTGTCGTTCGTCACGACCTAGATTCTCACATCTTCCAGTCTATTTGTGTGATCGTTCCACACAAATGTAAGCCCTAAATTAATAAAATTGGTAGGATGAAACACTTAAATTTTTCTCCCCAAAACTGAAGCCAAACAATAGGACAGACTGGGAAGGCTCTGAGGTTCTCCGAATCTATGTCATCCCCTAGTTCTTCTTCTTTTCGATTCTACAATAAAAATGTTCTAAATTTGAACAATTCCCCTTTCACACATTTTTGTCCAATTTTATTGAAAAGTCCTTTCCTTTGAATTCCTTGAAGATAATATTTCTTGATTTTCATCGAGAGTTTCTTAGATGACTTCGGTCATTTAAAATGTAATCAACTATAGGGTTTGCCCTTATAGGAAGCTTTTCTCGAACCCAGCTTAATATAAATTCTATTTAATTCTTCATATTAAATAGGAAAAATTGTCGGCAAATAAAACGGTTTCGCAGACCAAACGGACGTCATACATTTCTCAGTTTATTTGATCGAGTTTCATCCTCAAGTCTTATGTTTTTCCTTCGAGATAGATACATGGTTTGAGGTACAAAGCTCTTTCATTTAAATCTTTCATTTAAATTATGAAAAATATTGGGTCAGATTGATTTCATATTTTTCTAAACATTAAAATTTCCTTCCGAAGCGGGCGACGAGATTTTGATTCTGACGACCGACAGCTTCTTACGGGAAACTCCTCAAACCAAAAATAGTGCCGACAAAACTTATCTCAAATTCTCCACTAAACTTTTGAAGTTTCTTTGAATCTCTTCTCTTCTTACAACACTCTTAACTCTCAAAAACTAGAAATTAAAACTAAAATAAAGGTAGATATTGGTGTCTTACAGTCTCTCCCATAAATCACAGCAAAGAAGAATCTAAAAGAAACACTCGAAGAGACTAGAAGCAGCCCCCCGAAAAGTTCCAAGCCTCTCTTTTTATAGTTTTCTAATAGGCGTCTTGGTATCTCTTAAAAATGTGTCCAAATTCGATGTATTCTCTAAATGATGCCTCATTTCACAAGTCTTTTAACCATATTTTCGTTTCTAGTGATTATAACCACCCTCTTTGTCCAATAGGTGCCTCAAATGTTCATTCAAAATTCATCAAAATGAATTAACCCGTCAAGTAATTGTCACTGACGCCTAAGCATGGCGCCTCTAGCGCTTAGGCGTGGCATTCTCTGTTTCACGTGCGCTTAGGCGCCAAAATACCACTTAGGCGCCAAAATAGTTTTGCTCCATTTTTTTCATTTTTACTCCATATTTGATCATTTTTCACTCATTTTGTCATTTTTCACATTTTTAGTTGTACCTGAAGGAAAAACACAAATATCTTCCATTAAATTGTAATATCTCAAAAATATGTATAAAAATATTTATAAAAATATTATATATTTTAGAGGTATCAATTACCTGACCCGGTGAGCTGGATGACAAGGATGAGGCGGCCAATCCTGTCAGCTGACTGTACTAGCAGTGTTATACAATCAGCTCACAAAGCATGTGTAGTTGGTCAGACGACCCTGCGAAGTCAGATGGATTTTGATGTCCCGCCTGTTGTAGAAATTTTCTAGTGGACGTGGAAAGTTAACTCGAGTTTCGGGAGGTCCTTACTGGCTTCAGCTGCTCGGCTCCCGATGCTGGTTACATACATATTATTCAAATTTGCATACCACATAAAAAATAGTACTATCATTTTCTCTTATGATCAAACCGATCAGTAGACTCCTCCAACTCGGAAGGGCTCGTCCACAGGAATCCCAAAATTGTAGGTCTCATATATTAAGAATATTGAAATAGCTCTTATTATCCTAATTGAAAATGTAATCTCACAATTATACTCTCATTTATCTATAAATTTTACATGTTCTTATTATTCATTATTGTGTTATCTCTCTATTTATATTTCTTGTTAATCACTTTATTTGTTGTGTTAATTGGCTATCTCCAGTAGCTCGGCCAGGATCTACAGCATCATCAAGCCGATGTCGTATCGGAATCTTTCTTCTTTCAACTATTGGGTTAAAGTAGTATGTCACTCTAGTCTCTACATCCCTCATTTTCAACATCACCATCCATGGTCATGTAGTGATTGATCATTTACTTGTTTAGCACTAGGTGCTTCTTTTCGTTGTAGTTTGCTCGACACGCTGAGTAGAGAATTCCTTCATTAGCTATCAATCGAAGCGGAGTTGCAGGACCACACCCATCATCAGTTATCAATCAGACCGGCATGTTCCACAACCTCTTGATTGTTGACTGCATTTTGAGCTGCAGGATTCACCCCCTCTTCATCGTTTAAGGAGAAAATATTACGTTCGGAGTTTGTACTAAGCTTGCATCCGAACGACAGACGTGATACATCAGAGGTTCGAGCTCTGCTCCTTCCCGTTATGTCAATATGTCATATTCGTTGTCCGGGTGTAACTTTACATTCGGACTTTAGACGCAATATTTTTATTTATCGTTCGAGGGAGCTTTCTATCTACTCCTTATCGACAGAATTGATTTATCCGCATTTTTCTTAAACAATCTTCCTTGTTAATAGTTGTTCACTTCCCGTCCGCGTTATCGCATAAAGTACTGATTATCATACAAGCGTATGACAGTACTAAATGCTTAGAGCTTATTTTTATTTGTTCCATATGAATTATTTTTATTGTGTAGATTTAATTAATTATTTGCTAAATCTCAGACTTATCACGCAAATAAAGCAGTTAACATTGGACTGAATCAAATTGCTTGATAATTAATGCATTAATTCAGCATCTTTAACTAATGAAATTTTCAAAAATAGGAAAATGATTTTGACCAGATACACCTCCCTCTTCTCCCTTTTGATTGGTCTTTTGGCCTACTTTTGTAATCATCATTTCTATTAATAAAATAATTATGAGTTTGCACTAGAATAAATAATTAATTACTCTCTCTTTAGATAAAACGGCTAGATAATTAGCTAATTAATTAGATCAAGAAATAAATATTATATCACTTGCTGCAACTCAACCTGAGACTTTTCCCTCGTAACGTTGTTCTTGATATAGAGTCGGTACTCATTGATGGTCATCGATTGATAATGTTGTGGCCTTTCTGAAGTCACGAGTTATCTCGTTGGCTCCATATACATATCTTCTGTTTTTTATCGTAGTAGAAGACCATAGATATTTGTTCTGTTGTCTACTTTGTGTGGCACACTCTAACAATGTTGCATTGCTCAACACCTAATGTTAATTGACAAGTTTGCATCTAAATAATTTTATCTTGACGAATTAGATTTTTTTTTTCAAATTATTGTAGAAATGTCGCATTCTATTAATATTATTGGACTATTATTAAATTTAAATTAATTATTGTTAAATAGAGCAAATCTTATCTAGTCATTTATGATTTAAATAGTAATAAAATAACAAAATAGTTAGCTCTTTAATTTAAATTTTTTGCTAGCTAAATCAACACATATAAGGTTGCCAACCATATGGATGCTGATTCACATGCTTTTGACCGTGCTTCAGTGATTAGATTTTGATTGGCAAGTTTTTTTTATCAAATTTGTTTGTTTTTTTTATTTTGGACTAAATTTAATCGATAAATTTTCTGAAATAAACCTCCTATTGAGACTATATAAAAGGAACAAAATAATCTAAAATCATATTATCTAAGTTTTATAATTGTTTAATTTATATAAAGGATAGTTGAATTTTTTTTAGCAAGGGTAAGATAGAATTTAATTTAGTTTAACTATTTTTGTAACAAGTTGTTACCCCATTTTCATAATTGATTATTTTTTACTGCTAGATACTCTTTTCCACCTAAACTCTGTTGCAAAAGGCAATGATTTTTGTAATTTGTTGTTGAGTAACCTATTTTTAATTTTATTATTGTTATTTTGACCCTCAATTAATGAAATAAGATAAAAGGGCACTTTTGTAATGTGGTACCGCTCACCTACCACATCTCACCTACCACATCTCACTTACCGCCCACCTACCGCCCACCTACCTCCCACCTACCACTCTCTAACTTCTATAAATAGAGAGGGTGTGAGGCTTAGGAGAGCAAGGGAAGAGATCTTAAGCTACCACAAATGAGGGGAGAATAACTAGAGAGCACATTTTGTTTTGGAGTCCAAAGGAGGAAACACTAGAGGATGTCACGGATTCGAAGGAGGACTTCGATGACTTCCTAAGCTATCCTATTATTTGGCTTCAATTTAGGAGAAATCATTTAGATGTGTCATCCTGCAATTTTTATTTATTAGGATTTACATTTGTGTGA